ATAAAATCTAAACATAATTGACCACATATAGGTGGATCATTATAATTTTGCAATTGTTCAGTGTTGTAATATAAATTATCTTTTCCTAAATAATTTACAATTTCTATAATTTGAATTGAATCTCCATAAGAGTCTAAATATACCTTTTTCTTATCATTTTTTAACCACGCCACCCAATGTGAACCAGGTTGATTAGAATTATTTAAATTTAATATTCCACATTCATTTTTCCAAGGCACTGCAGGTAACTCATCTTTCATAAAACAACCTCTAAAATTTTTWAWATTTTTTCCTGCTTCAATAATATCATAATTAGTTAATGGTTTTCTTTTTTCTTTTTTTATTTAATCCTGAACCAATTTGTAATGTTTTGATATTTTTAATATTATTTTCCATCTCTTTATTATGTCTTTCTGCCTCATCCCGTTTTAATCTCTAATCTTTTGCATCAATAACAGTATTTGCAATAGCACTAGCACCTCCGGCTAATGCACTAAGAGCACCTATACCTGCTATGATAAGAGGTAAAAAACCACCTACTATATCTTTATTTCCAAATTGAGATTTTGTAATTTTTAATCTCATCCCTTTTTTTATCTTTTTTAGCTTTAGTTAGCTTACTTTTTTGTYGATCAGTTAAATTAAATTTGTTTTTTCCATTACCAATATGTGTATGTTTTAATTGAATAACTACATAAATCTTGTTTTCATAAGCTTTTACAAGCTTTTTTACTTGAGAATCATTCAAATCTAAATTCATTTAATACAAATAAAATGTATTAAAAAATTTGTGGTGACAAAAGCAGCTGTTTTTTCACCTATAGATGCATCTGCATCTAAACATCTATCCCATGCTTTATTTTCCAAAATTTTATCTCCAATATGTCTTATTTTAATATTTTTATGCTTTTTATAAAAATAATCTTGTTCCATTGCTCCCATATCTGGTTTAATTACTGGTTTTTTATTTTTTTCTAAATCAGTAAAAGGACCAAGATAATTATAACCAGGTCAATGTATTTCTGGCATAATTAACTGTTTAAAAGACTATTCATAAGACCTGATCCTTCTACAATTTTTTCAGGCAAACTTGTTACATAAGAAATTAAATACTCAATTCCTGGTGGGGTATTAACTATTCTTTCTAATTCAGAAGTAAAAAAATGCACAATACTAATTTTTTCATTATGAAAATTATTATGGCCTGCTTTTTCTTCACTAGCAATAAAATATAATCTCTTTAATAATTCATTTAAATTATGTATATATTTATACTCAATACGATCTTCTGAATACTTTTTTAAACCATCTCTTTCTTTTTCTTCATCTTTTTTTGGTAATCTCTTTTTTTCCTTTTTGGCTACATTTTCAGGTAAACTATGCCTAATAGGTTTAATCATTTTCAAATATTTTTCTCCTTTACTTGATTTAACAAGCCCAGTTTTTTTATCATTATTTTGATACATTGAATCAGTCTGAATTAATATATCTTTATAATTGTCAAAATCTGTCTCTGTATAATAATTAGAGGTTGCATACACAGAATAACATAATTAATTAAATAATCCAGTTGTTCCTTCCTATGTTTTTCCATTTATAATTAAATTATCATCATTAAATTCTACTACATCTTTTCCAATCATATATTGTTTATTATATTCATAAAAGCGTACGAGCCACGATTTAGAGTAGGTAAATCTTTTCGTGGAGACAACTAACTATTATCCTATTCCTATACGCTGTTATGCGGCATCGGGTTTTTCCACTGTCAGCTCAGTGTAGTTGATTATAATTTATTTGTTGAAACAACAACTAATCGTTTTTACTTAGCATTTATACAATTTTTATGCATTATACAGAAACTCAAAAAACAATTCAACAACTATTGAATAAAACGTACGAAATTTTGTTTTTTCAAATATATTTTTTTCTAACGTTTTCCTAAGAAAATTATTAATCGTTACGTTAAAAAGAATATTTTCAAAAAAATCATATTTCATACATTAATAGATCCTATAGTACCGTTTTATCAGTTACTGTTTTTTTTGTATACTTATTGCATGTAGGAGCCGTTGACCGTTAAGAAAAAATAACATGAAAGTTACAGTGTTTGTTGCACTGAGAAGGTATTGAAGAAAATCAATTTGACGTTGAACGGTTACGTATATAACCATTATTGATTTTACAACATTCAAATAATAGGAGTGTTCGAACATCGGAACAACAACACGTCGCCCCGATATTATCGGCGGGTGCTATCGTGCAGCCGTCGGCGTCGAAGTTCACCGAGCACCCTACCACTCCTACATCGGTAGACAACTCGTCGCGAGCTAAGACAGAGTCGCCGCCCGGTGTTGTCTTTTTTCCGCGGTTGAGACTGACGGACCATCTCCTCAG